CACCACTTACACATAAATAATATAATAATAATATTATCTCTGGTCATGATGGGGAACCCAGCAGGATGCTGAGATAGGAGAATTGCAAGTTTAAGGCCAACCTGGGATATACAGTGAGTTCCTGCTTCAGTGAAAAGGAAAGTTAACATGCTTGCCAAAAAAACTCTAGAAACCAGAAAATATAAAGTAGAAAATAATGATTATTCATTACTCAATCCACCAAAGATTGACATTTTAGTGTATTTTAAATTTTTTTCATATATTTGTGTTATGCATCAAAGCTGAGGCCATCTAAGAATCATACACACACACACACACACACACACACACACACACACACACATGCATTCACACTAATTTGTTGCAATTTAAAAAATTAGCATAAACATTTAGAAATGGGAATGTGAAAAAATCAGGTGTTTTGAATTTTTAATGTTATCTGATGTGAAGATGGAGTCTGGCTGACTTTTCTGCCTGTGTTGGCCTTGAACCACAATCTTTCAGGTATTAGTTTCCTGAGTAGCTAGAATTATAGGTGTGAGACACCAAGACCTGTCTGTTGTATATTACTATTCATGTGTATATTTGTGAAATTATCTCTGTAACCTAAGCCTCAGAATGAACAATGTGTACTTCCCACCGAGTTTTTCTTTGGCACCCAAGGTCTTTCATATTCTTTGTCTTTAAATTTGATTGCATTGTTACTTCTACCTTTTACATTTCCAACCAAAATACAGAATCCAGTGCTAATCACATTTCCTTTTTTTTTTTACCCTTCACACAACAGGGAATCCAACAAAAATGTGTTCTATTCCGATGTATTTAGTGTCAACTTACAAAATCCTTTCCCACCATGCAAGAGCTAGTTCAAGTGCAATTTTTGAAGCCATAGAAATCTATTCCCAAGTTCCCAGAATTCTGCTACTCTCCTTTCCTTATTATCCAAATTAAAATTAAGCTGCTGTAAAACCAGTTGCTGCCTATTTTATCAATCCTGGTCATTCAAAAAACTGTATACATAATTTACTTGCACAAAGGAATATACAGATAAAAAATAGAAAGTAATTTTACCTTTCTAAAATAAAATTGTGTTTAATAACTAAAATGTCAAAGAATAAAAAGTCTTCACAAATTACTAGTAATTTTCAGGTTATAGCATACTTTTGCTTATAATTTCATATTGCATTTGTAACATACTTGAACGAAATGTGAAATATTATCTCAAAGCTGTCAATATGACAGCCAGACTTCTTACTACCTAAAAAGGGAGTATGGGTTTAAATTCCTATTATTGTACACCCTATTCCTGGAGAATATGTGAAAAGATGTAATAAGAAACTACTCTCATTAAAGAAATATAATAGAGAGTTAAATTTTCCAAATGAAGTTTTATACTTAATATTTTTATAGAATGACAACAAGTTTCCTATAAGCAATATATTTACCAGGAATGAATACTATACCTATAATCTTTGCTAGTATTCAATGCTTTCGAAAGCTGAAGAGCAGGAATAAACTGCATTTAAGGTCATATAAGTTGTTATAAAATTATTGTATTCTTAGAAAAAGTAGTTTAGTAAAACTATCAGAAGGTTAAATATAGTTTCATTGGTGTTATGAGATTCTGAAAAGTTTCTAACTGGATTTTGATAGGTGTTGTACAGAGGAGCAATATGGGCCTTTAGTTCTGACTTTTTGAAAAGCCATTTGAAGGTTGTATGGTTTGTTGTCTTCCATGTGAAGGATTCATATATCAGAAAAAGCTGAAAGATTTCATTGAAATCATGTCCAAAATGAAATACTCCTTATGCAAATTTCCCACTAATACAAAATTCCTTTGTATGAATCAGTTGCAAGGAGGAAATATGAGGAGTGGTTCCTAAAAAACTGCTGTTCCCCTTTTCTCTACATAGCAGGATGTGTAGTTCTAAATGAGTTTATTTCAAAGCTACTCCTTAAGGTAAGAATACCTATATAAGGGATTCTGATAGTACTGTTATTAATTCCAAGCACATCTGGAGAGCCACCTTAGGCAGGAGCCTCAGATTGTGATTAATACAGCACATACACACATATACAAAAAAAGTTTTATTACATGTTAACTCAGAATTTTCTCTTTCCCTTAGAAGCCCTTTACGCATGTGATTTTTAATTCCTTCTTCTAGTTGCTTCTTCCTCTTCTTTATCCAATCTGCTCAAAGAGTTATTCAATGGCAAACCACTTCCCTTCTCCTCCATGCACACCAAATGTCCATGTTAGTACTTTAGTTCAGTACCAAAGGACAGGAGCAATGGGAATGAGCATGCCAAATATTCAGCAGAGCAGCTAGAGCTCTTGTGTTCAAATGGTTCATAACAATGTTGAAACAACATTCATAATCTTTGGAAAAATTAAGATGAAAATAGTGAAAGGGTGACATTGATCAAGATGTATTGTATTCATAAACTGCTTTGTTAAATAACTCATTGCTGGGTGCCGGTAGCTCATGCCTGTAACCCTAGCTACTCAGGAGGCTGAGATCTGAGGATTGCTGTTCAAAGCCAACCCCCAGCTGGGGCAGAAAAGTCCATAAGACTCTTATTACCAATAAACCACCAGAAAACCTGAATTGGCGCTGTGGCTCAAGTGGTATAGCACTAGCCTCGAGCTGAAATGCTCAGAGACAGCGCCCAGACCCAGTTCAAACCTCATGTCTGAGAAAAAAAATTCTTTGTACAGTTACTTAAAGATAATAATAAAAGAATTAAAAATAAGAAAGTTTTCAGAAGAATTCACATATTCCCGATATTCATTTTATGATACAACAGTATCTTTTGTTTTTAATCAAATTCTGTGAATTCTAATCACAAAGTTTCTTAAACCTCTCCTGAAATTTGTTCAGTCTGATGTGTGGTAATGTTCAAGAAAATGCAGTTAGGCCATGAATGTTAAAAAACTAATATTTTTCATGCATTTTTATTGTTATTATAAAGGTGATATACAGAGGGGTTATTGTTACATACATCAGATTAAAGAAACATTTCTTTTTGAACAATGTCACATCTTCCCTCACTCTTTCCAAGATTTTTTTCTTCCATCCCTACCCACAAGTTGTATAGTTCATTCTCAACATAGTTTCTAGTGAGTACCAGTGCTGCATTTGTTCACTCTTTGTCCCTCTATCTCTGTTCACCCCCCACCATCTTAAAGACAGATAAACAAGCACACACACAAAAGAAAAAGAAAACAAAAACAACAACAAAGAAAAACAAAACCACTTGTTTCCATTTCCTGGAGTTCATTTTGATAAATATTATTTTATAAGATCAGAGGCACATATATATTGTGCTTTGTGTTCCTGTCCCAAGAATATTCTCCTTTGGTCTTACTGTGTGTGAATGCCATAAAGGAAATGCAAATCAAAACAACACTGAGATTCTACCTCACCCCAGTTAGAATGGCCATTACCAAAGAAAATTAACAATAACAAATGCAAGCAGGATGTGGCCAATAGGGAATGCTACTACACCATTGGTGAGAATGTTAATTTGTTCAACCTCTGGAAAGCAGTTATTGAGGGTCCTTAAAAGACTAAACATAGAGATACTTTATGACCCAGCAATCCCACTCCTGGGCACTTATCCAATAGACCACAAACAACATCACACTAAAGCTACCACCACAACCATGTTCACTACAGTATGATTTACCATAGCCAAGATATGGAATCAGCCCAGATGCCCCACAGTAGACAAATGGATCAAGAAAATGTGGTATATTTACACAATGGAATTCTATACTTCCCTCAGAAAGAATGATATTGTACCATTTATAAGGAAATAGAAAGACTTGGAAAATTGTATAGCAATAAGCCAGACCCAGAGAAATATAGGCTGCATGATTTCCTTTATTTGTGGTACCTGTAATGTATCTATAAATCTACAAGTAAACACACTGCATGGTAAAAAAAATTAAAAATACTGCAATATGACAAAAAAATCTAGTTTTATAAAATGATCACTCAATTTAACATCTTTCTTTCATCTACATATTGAATTTGTATGACTTGTATTAAGACTTAAGATGTATTTTGTGGGAAACAGTGAACTATTTGGGTCTCCACATTGGAGCTCCACAAACTGGAACAGTGTTAGGACAATAAATCTATCATGGGGGATTTTGTAGCCTGAAAACTGACAAGCTAACATAGATTTTTAGATAAACCAAGAAAATAATTTCAAAATAGCCTTTATCTCATGTGGCTTAGTTTATGTTTCTTCATTACTGAACTCAAGTTCAGTATTGTCCTAATTCTAATCAAGTTTTAAATTCACTTAATATAACAACATAAAGAGAATAACATGGTTAACATGCTTATGTGATGTATAATAAATTTTGGCCTACCAGGGTTAATCCTGAGGCAAGTTACCACACATCTTTGAGATTCCATTTTCTTATTTATTGTAACTTTCCCCATGAGAACAGTTATATTAGAAGCTCCAAATGAAATCTTATGTATGAAAATATCTAACAAAATAAGAACCCAGAACAAAGTGACACTGAGAAATTTTAAATGAATGAATTTCCATGAGGTTTCTTTAGTAACAGGATGGTGGCCTCAACTATTTCTGTCACTTTGACTTTTGTTTTTATGTCTTAGAAAGATTGGAGAATTTTAAACTTATTTATAAATGAGTTCTTATGAAAGAGATTTACTTTTATGTGTGAAAAAATGCTGCATGTATTATATATCACTAATAATATCCTCTTCACTGAAGAAATTGATATGTTTAGATATTTTTATTTAGTAGGACACATCTGTCAAAAATTGATTTAGGCCAGGCTTTGGTGGCTCATGTCTGTAATATTAGCTATTCAGGAGGCTGAGATATGAGGATCATGGTTCAAAGCCCAGCTCAGATGGGAAAGTCCATGAAATTCTTACCTCCAATAAAAATTACCAATAAAAAAACTGGAAATGAAACTGTGGCTCAAGCTGTAGAGTGCTAACTTTGAACAAAAGAAGCTCAGGGACAGCACCCAGACCCCGAGTTCAAACTCCAGGACAGGCAAAAAGAAAATAAAAGTCTCTTAACTAATGAATTGCCTTGAATTTTAAAGAGGAAACCTGAGTCCCATCTTCCCTGTTCTCTAACATTTTTCATTCTACCCATAACATCACAATCCCGTGACCACATCTGATATACAAGAAAACATTTCGTTCTGTTGTTTCCTAAGTGCAGTTAAAGAAATTGGCTGATAACTGTGGTCTTTGGGAAAAGCCAAAGAACATAGGTAAACAACATCATACTTGAAGTTATTTCACTTTAGCCAACCATTGATGACCCACTCTCCTTACTCATGAGACGGGAACGGGTCACAGAACTGCTGTGACGAGATAGCTGGTCACGAAATTCTGAGGCCATGAAATAATAAAGAATTGGATCCAAAAGACAGCAGAGGCTTGCAAGGCACAGACAAAAAGGATGAAAATACAGAGTGCTTTGGGCAATGGGACAACTACTAATAATGGTTTCCTTTACCATGGTATAAAAAACAAAATTGATGTGATAGGGAGTAAAGCAAATGAAGAAGACTGCAGCACACATAAAAACCATCCGCAATGCTTTTCGCCTCTCACTGATCCCAGCCATCGGTGGCTGACTCAAAGATATGGTGGTTTTCCAGGTACAACATGCAATGATGATCACTGGGACCACAAAGCCAGCTAGCTCAGCAATTGTAACCATTGGAACCAAAACCACCGCATTCATTTTCTTATAACCAAGATCAGCAAAGCAGGAGTCACTGTTGTTGCCTAACCCAGCACTTCTCAGGATGGGAAATGGCAAACAGGCAGTCCCAACGATGACCCAGATGGCAGCACTGATGCCCACATCATACCTACGCTTCCAGTTCCTGGCTCTGAATGGCTTGAGGAGAAAGAGGCACCTCTGAAGGCTGATGCATGTCAGGAAGCAAATGCTGGCATACATGTTGAGATACTTCAGGTAGAAGCACAGCAGGCACAGGGCCCTCTGGAAAGGCCAGTGGTGGCTGATGTAATAGTAAATCCGGAGGGGTAAGGACAGCACGTGGGCAAGGTCAGCCACAGAGAGGTTGATCATGAAAATGATGGCTTTGTTTTTCTTGCTGATGAAGCGACAGAGAACCCACAAGGCTGCACTGTTGGCCAGAAGACCAGGGATGAAGATGATGATGTAGGTGGTCGCATAGAGGGAGTACTGAAATGACATACTGCTGATATTGCAGTTAGTCTCAGCATTGCTGGTACTGTTACTCTCCATCTTGAATGTTTCTGTATATTCATCAAGAAAAGCTGCAGATTTATGATCCTAGCTGAAAACAACAGCAAAAACAAGAATATAATAGTTAACTAGTTCTTTAACCCAACACCCAAATCGCTAATGTTTTGAGAGATATAGACTATTAGAATTAGGAGGACCTAATTGTAAATAAAGAAGTAGAAGTTTAGGAAAGATATGCTTAACTGATCCAAAGTCGTTAGGTGAATCAGTTAAAGAAGGACAGCATTAGGCATATGCCCGTGGTTCACGTCTGTAATCCTAAGTACTCAGGAGGCTGAGATATGAGGATTGTGGTTCAAAGCCAATCCAGGCAGGTAAGTCCTTGAGAGACAGAAAACTGGAAGTGGCGCTGTTGCTCAAAAGGCAGAATGCTAGCCTTGAGCTGAAGAGCTCAGGAACAGAGCCCAGGCCCAGAGTTCAAGCCCCATGACAAAAAGAAAAGAAAAGAAAGCCAGGACAGCATTGTCCCACAACTGTTTTCCCAGAGTATTCAAATTATACCTTGAAAGCAATGATGCTTACACAAAAGAATGACAGGAGAACAACAAACTTTTATTTTATTCTGGAAATTTTCAGATTGGGAAAAACTTTTGATAAACATCTATATCTACTGCCATATAATATAAGTAGAAGTCATGCCCCGAGTGTTTATTACAGTCACATGTCTATGACACAGAAGACCTTGGAACTCAAATGGAAGACAAGTGCTTAATCTCCATATGTACCCTTCTTACAAACAAAATTGTGCAAGAATATTTCTGTTATAATTCAGGGATGATTCTTATTTTATTCAGAAAGAAAAGGAAATGAGAGGGTTTCCCTCCCCCACCCCGTCAGGTGGGACAATATGTTCTTACGGTTTCTAGCAGGGTTTTTTCCTGTTTTGTACTAAGTAAATTTACAACAGTAAGACACTGTAGTAATATTAGGTTCTCCTTATTAGTGACAGATTGTCTAATCCTACACCAACACATAATGACGTATTAAAAAAACAGAACTCTCTAGCAGATTCACAGATAGAAAATGGTTAGTTTTGAAAAGTTTTTGTTACTCTAAAGGGCACTTTTATTTTTCCTCCTCTTCTCTTTTACTTACCTGATGACCTATCTGCATATGTCCAAAAGAGTCACACAGCCATCTTGTAGATATATGTGCTGTGACTTAGAACGTAGAAGGATGCTCGTAGGTGAAAAGACAGGAAAGCCTCATGCAGTAATCAAAGATGTACCCCATTATCAGAAAAGGAAGCTTTCATCTATTCTCTCTTATTTAATTCTCTCAGCCATCATTATACTCAGGATGCAAATGAAGGAACTGACGTTCAGAGAGGTTTAGTAAATTGCCTGAGTAACAAAGCTAGAAAATGGTGAATGTGGGATTTACCATCTTACAAACTTGGTCCGAAGCTTATGTTATTTTCCCTAAGCTGTTTGCTCCCTGCCTAGTAGGAACTACTTAGCAGAATGCAGCTAGCTTAACTAACCATCACATGTTGACTATAAAATATATGTTAAAGCTTACCTAGGTCCTCAACTGGCCAAGATGTTTTGTGAGGTTCTATAACTTTAAGAGGTGGAGCCTAGGTAGAGGAAGAATTTATCTTAGTGGTATCTCATCCTTGGACTCTCCCCCAACTCTGTTTTCTGTTAACTATTATTGAACCTGCCATACCTTCCCGGCCATATGAACTGAATCTTCTGAAACTGAGAGCAAAAATAAATTTTCCACCTTAAGTTATTGCCTCATGTATTTTGGTCATGGTTCCACACATTTGTTATGACATGCAAAGCACACATTATGGTAGAGCCTTTCAAATCCCACAGTAGAAGTCATGATCTGATCATGGGTTTGCTCTAGTTTGGCTGTCAGGATAGAACTAAATATTTGCCCTCATACAGGCCAGACTCCTACTCCACTACCCACTTTGACTTTGGTATTGCTATCACCTATCAAACATACAGAGGCTGAGAGGGAGCAAAGGAAAATACAAATGTCAGTGTATTATGTGTTCCAGAACAAAGAACAACTCACACCCACTGAAATCACACTTCCACTTTTGCACTTAACAAACACAGCTATTTGCTTTTGCTTCACTGGTGTAGAAAGTTTCACTTACTAATAAGATATATATTGTTCACACTTTTATGTTGAATAACAGTGCCCAATTAGGGTGAAAAGTCCTGTTATACCTTCGTTTATCTTATGGGTTTATTGTCTCTGAAATTTGCAGTTTATTGTAAGCTTAGAGACTGTCATAAGGGACCTGTTTTACATAGGCTTTTCTCTTCTATAGAATGAAGGGAAGGTAGCAAGAGTATTTCCCTGAATCTTCTTGGTGGCAATAATTGTAAAATCCCCATGCAAGGGAGAGGCAGGGGGAATTTATTGTGGGTTGGGGTAGACTGTCTTAGAGTATTTAGGTTCCTGTGAACAATTTGTATCACTCTCAAATTTAAGACAGGAGCTCAACATAGGATTCCCCTCACAGGAAAGTGCAAAGTATCTCTCTCCCTCCACCCTTCCCCTGCTAGCTCTCTTTTGATCTCCATATCTGTTTCCGGATGGTTTGCCTTCCTCCTCTTACTAATCTTTTTCCTTTTCAATCTATCTATATATCTTTGGTCCCTTACTCATAAAAAGATGTGAAATAGGTGATTTACTTCTCAGTCTGTGCTTCCTTTTTCCCAATCAACATTATATCTCTCTCCCACAACACTTCAGCTGGAGATTGGAGAGTCATGTTAACCCTTGCCACTATACTTCCCCATATTTTCCTTCAGAAACTAGGTGATTTATCCTCCTAAAAGTTTCTTTTAATCCATGCCTACCTCTTGTCACCATCATAATTTAGGCTACTGTCATCATCCTTTTCACTACTACAACCTCTACTATACTAGTCTGCCTGCACTCCCATTTTACCTTCTTAAGTGCATCCCCTATACTATGTCTAACATCAATACTACCGTTAATGAGAATAACATTTTATTTATAAGCTAAATATATAATCTCCTTCATCCTTACAGCAACTCCATAGTTATTTCCAAAGAAGTTTCTGTGGAAACAAAATAAAGCACAGAAGTGGATTTGAAGTACCACTTGAAAGATAAGTCAGTTTTCAATCAACAGCTGTATGAGTGAGATGGATACAAGAGAGTAAAAGATGGGAAGGGGATACAGGCATGAATGAATAATATTCAATGATCCCAAACTATAAAATGAATAACCTAATGCAATGGAATAATAGGAGGTTTTATTCCAGTTGATGAATAGGGTTAAATAGTAGAAAGGGTTGACTAGGAAGTGAGAGAGGCAGAGTGTGAAGGGGGAAGATGTTGTAAAAGTAATTGATACCAGACCATGAAAAACTTTTGAATGCACTTCATACAGAGTCATTGAAAGATTCTGAGAAGACATGATATTACCATACTTGAGTTTAAAAAGATCACTGTGGCAACTGTTGTATATAGACTAGAATGATGGAACGAACACAGACAATCCAAATAATTTAGGAATAAGTAGGGTAATCAATAGTTTAAGTCTGCTGGGATTGAGGGTATCTCATAATAGTCCAAGGCAATTGAATAGGTAGTTGTTCACCCTTCTACTGCAATAGTCGAGATGATAAAGAATGAGATGTGAACTTGATATGACAATAAATTTTAAACTGAATGTCAGCTGGTAAATTGGCCAATTTTCAAAACTGAATACTTAAAAATAATTTCATTATAAAACAATATGCTAAGCTAGGTGCTGGTGGCTCACAACTGTAATCCTAGCTACTCAGGAAGCTGAGATCTGAGGATCAGGGTTCAAAGCCAGCTGGGCAAGAAAGTCTGTGAGACTCTTATGTCCAATGAACCACTAGAAAACCGGAAGTGGCACTGTGGCTCAAATTAAAATACAAAGTCTACTTGGAACGATACAAATAGAAATCAATAATCTCTAGCCTGATTGTTTTCTCCAGATGCTTTTGCCATGAATCTGATTCTCCTTTTCCCCTGCTGTCTTTTTAGCACCTTTACAAAGCTACAAAGGCTTACTCCTGTTTCTCTCAATATATCCCAACCCTTACCTCACAGAGAACACTGTGATTATTGAGTGAGAAGTTGTTCAGCTCTATTCATTGTCAGCTCCTAACATTCGATCTTGGTTATTGTCCCACTCTTCATACTCCCCAATGCAACTTCTCTTTATGTTGCTTGAGATGAACTTCCTTACTCCTCTTATCTCTCCCATGACCTCCTTTCATAGATTATACTCTTTTATTCCCATATCATATCTCATCCAGTCTCAGTAAAATCTTTGGTATCGTCACTTTTCTCCCACAAATAATTTTTCTGTCTGTTCTACAACTTATTCTAGCTCTTTGGCATCTTCTTCCTCTACTTAAAAATATCTAAATAATAATTGGTTTTTTCCTCGATAATTGTTTATGCTACTTTATCTATTGCCTTTCCTCGTGTAATATCCATTCCAATGCACTTTGAGGTGGCATGCATGCCTATTTCTCCAAGTTCACCTCAGTCTTTAGTTCACTGGTTGTAAGCTATCAAGACAGAAATGAGACTTTCTAGTGCCTCTTACGGAAGTAAGGCATCTCCAGTCTGTCATCATCTATGCAGGATAATATGCTACCTTTCCCAAATATGACAATGAAGACTTTTTTTCTAGAAAGAAGTGTCTGCCAGCAGGGAAATGACCAGCACAGAGTTCTAATCTACTTAGTGAAGCAGTGTTTAGTTTCATTATCAAAGTGTGGCTTGAATTACATTTCAAACAATCTTAATCTGATCTTACTTTCCAAACTTTTAATAAACGTATAAGATTCACTATGATAATATAGTATCTCTGAAGGAGGACTCTATATCTTAGATGGTTAGATCCTTTACTCTGCCTCACAAAAGTCTAGTTATGCAGTAGAGACTCAATTGATACACTTAAGTTTGTAAAGTTGCAACTATGGAGAACAGGCACCAATTAACAGGCAATTTCACTTCTTATATCACTCCTGTGAGCTTCTGTCCCAGAAAA